TTGGCTCTCGCGCGAGCTCGTTCACGTTCGAAACACGCGCGACGAGCGCGTTTTCGCGCGGGGATGCGGAACAACCCGGGCGGAAGGGGTTGAAAACTCTCTCTCTCTCGTCGCTGCGAGAGCCAAAGCACGCGCAGGTTTCTCACTCGGCCGCAATTATATATTCTACATGCTCTTCTCTGCTACGGGAAAACTCGAAAGAATGCGTACAGACAAAAAAATCTTTGATTCTCAATTGGAAAAAGAAAGAAAACGAACAAACGGAAACACCTCGTGTGAAGCATGCAAATCAAAGTTACTCGACTCACTGTGTGCGGCGCGCTCTTAAAATCAACTTAAGCTCTCGCTTACGAACGCTTACTAATTACAGGCTTATCGCTTCAATGACACCACAGCGGACATAAATCCGCGCAGCTCTCGCTCGAGATTTATCGTACGCGAGATATACGCGAGATACGGGCGCGATATCGCGCGCGCGTGCGCCGTGTGCGACAAACGATGAGAAATCATCGTGCAATCAACAACCGTCCGTCGTCGCAACGTCCGTTGACGCAACGTTGACGCCGGGCGCGCATTTACGTCCGCTGCGAGTCGGCGCGTGGCATTGAATTAACTAAAAAATTAGTGGAAGCCAACCAAAACCAGGAGTTACCATAAAGGCGTGGGTAGCGAGAAGTTGCTGCTGGATTTGCTGTTGAAGGTGATGGTGTGGTGCCGGAGGTGCCGTTGCCTCCTGTTCACCAATGACGTAATTGGAGAACACACCAACAATCAACCACAACCACGTGAGCCACAGCGGCAAACATAGGGGACAGACAGGCAGTCATACGAGTAGTATAGGGTTCGATGTCACGTAGCAACGACTATGAGTGTATGTCATGAATAAAAAGGGAAAAGAAAACGAAAAACAAACAAAAAAAAAAAAAGAAGAAAGAAGAAAGAAGAGAAACGAACGAGGAGGACGTTAACGACGAGATACGACTTTTAGCCACCGCGCCGATTTGCAAAGAAGAAAATAACGAGGAGACGCGCGCGCTTTGTCGACTTTGCACACGCGCTTAGACGGGCGATTCGAGAGAATGTGTGTGTGTGTGTGTGTGAGAGAGAGAGAGAGAGAGAGAGAGAAAGGGAGAAAGAAAAAAAGATAAAAATACGCGAAGTTTCGTCGGTAGTCGAAGATTTGCTTATTTGGGTCGATCGAAAGCACCACGCGCCAGCGACGCGCACGCGACGTCGCGTGAAATTTTGACGAGCCGACGACGAAACCTGCACCCGCTTGCCCGACGTCTCCTCCGCGGTCGGTCGTTCGAAAGTTCGGCTGTGTGGCTGCGTCTCGCCCTCGTAATTAACGAGCCTCCCGAGTCGAGTGGATAAGTACGAACAGTACGAAAAATATGTTTGCGATGAGAGAAATCTAATGTGTCTGCGTCAGGGGCTCTTAACCGATGGACGGAGGTGCTCACGAAATGTCGAAAATGTATTCCATCGTCTTCGACTTACAATTGAAAAGTAACCGAAAGCTGCTGTGTAATCAAAGAGCAAAACAATGATAAGGAAAGCAAAAGTGACGAAACATCGAAACACCTCCTGAGAAAGAAGGAGAGAAAGTGACGTATGGTTAAGAACCGCTGATCTGCATGGAGAGAGAGAGAGAGAGAGAGAGAGAGAGAGAGAGAGAGAGATAGATAGAGAGAGAGAGAGAGAGAGAGATAGAGATAGAGAGAGATAGAGAGAGAGAGCGTACCGAAGAGACTCGATTTTGCAAAATTGACTGTCTATCGAGAGTATATGGAACAATCGGGTATCTCCGGGAAGTAGGGATGACACTGACCAAGAACATGCGGCGTGCTAAACTTCGAAATTCTTCAAGATCTCTCGGTGCAATGCCCGCGAGAAGGGACGCTGATAACTATGGACGGCGCGCGGTGTTCGCGCGACTGAAGGAAAATGACGAGAGAGTTTGCTGCGAGAGAGTCCCTCCTGCTCTATCGAACAGGCGAGCTTCGCTTGAATTTTGAAAATAACGCGCGCGCGCGCGCGCGACAATCTTTTTTTAAAACGCGAGTCTCGAGCTTCTCGAGAGCTCGGAAGAGAAACCTCGGAACAGCGCGCCGTCGATAACCTACGCAGCGTCGCCGAGAAACCGAGAAACGTAATCTAGTGTAGGTGGGCACAGGTAAAATATAACCCTCGACTAAACACAGACAAAAATCTCAGACCTCTCGATCTCGTGATAAAAGACGGTGTGTATGTGTGTGTGTGTGTGTATGTGAATGTGTCGACAGCAGAAAGACGTGGTGCAACGATCGTGTTAATCTGTCGGACATACCACTGCTGGTACCTGGCCAGGCACGAGAGGCTGACCCGGCGTGAGGCCCATCTGCTGCATCAGTGCGTTTTTCAACGCTAGGTGGTTGCGCCCGTTTATCAGGAGTTGGTCCTTCAGGTGCTGTGGAGGATGGAAATACTTGCACGGCGGCTTCTCCCGGTTACATCGACCCTGAAACAAAAAGGCGGGACGCGTTAGTTTGTTAGTTCGAACAACTATGTGAATTACGACGCGTGCGATTGCGCATCGCAATTTACGAATTTACGTTTCGCGTCGCACCGGCACCGGCACAATCTTATCTTACGCTTCTTCTGCAATCGATACGATCAATCGATCAATTTTCCACGAAATGAAAAGTATCGTCGTCTTGTCTCTCAATCGATGGCCGATCTGTATAAACCGGGATATCGTTTCGATAAGATTCGTTTAATGTCGAGTGTCGGATGTCGATATAGATATATTATATTAATGATTACGCTCGTCGGACTTGGGATCGCGAAACATACAGCGAAACCCCCAGCTCTTCCATATCCCTCGCAGTCATGACGATCCGTGAGGATACGCGATACTCGCAATCGCCCGGCAACTACAATAACGCGGATACTAATTTCCTGACGTCAACCTCGCTCGCCGCGCCCACACCTACACCCTCACAGCCACGCAGGCGTGCCTACACGGCAGCCAAGGATGCGGAGGGTTGTCTTGGGCGAAGCCCAACGCGCGTAACGCGAGCTCCCGTGTGCTCTGCAATTTATCCACAAATGAAACGCACTCGCGTACGAGTGGTTCATAATATAGCTAATATCCGAAAGCCACCCACGGCTTTCGGTATCCACCGTCATACCTTTGGTATCAGGCTCTCGCTCGTTCTCTCTCTCTCTCTCTCTCTCTCTCTCTCTCTCTCTCTCTCTCTCTCTCTCTCTCTCTCCCTCGCACAGACTCACCCTCCACGTAACTTGGGTGTTGGGACGAAGCGTAACGCGGTTTACGGGGTAAGTTGCGGGCGCAAGGCCGGAATACGAAAGTGATGCGAAGACGAGAGGGTGGAAGGAGAGGTCTGAGCGTGTCAAAGAAAGAGAGAGAGAGAGAGAGAGAGAGACACACGTGGAGGAGGAAGGGTGAAACGAGGAAGGGTGAAAGGTAGACGAGGCAAGGTGAGGCGAGGCGAGTGAGGTCGCGCTCGGTGTCGCGGTAGTACTAATTAGATCTTAACAATATTAGTTCAGGTAAGACGTCTATATACATGTAAGTGTATGTATGTATAGGACCGAAGGGATAGCCACCGCCAGTGCCGCCCGTGCTTTCTTACGGAAATCCAGTGGCTTTTGGTAATAGCGGCTTGCGAGTGTAAACTCTCTGTCAGACAGGGGTTGCGACGGGGCTACGGGGCTGAGAGGGAAAGGAAGGAGAGGGAGGCGGTCGTGTCGGTGAGACGAGCGCTCAAATATCGCCTAATTAAGCACATTCGAGAGTTTCGAGGAATAATGTGTAGGTACGCGGCACGAGAAAGTTTCGACCCATCGAGAGGAAATGCTCCGCCCTCTTCATCGTCTTCGCTGTCGCGGCGTCATCATCGTCGTCGTCGTCGTCGTTGTCGTCCTCGACCTCTCCGCACGCTCGTCGTCGCGCTCCACAGGAGCCGACCTCTCGTTGACACGGGGCGGTTTAAGCACGACTAATTGCGCGAGACAAGATTTCCGTTCGAGCGCGCTCGGCGTGTACGACGCGTGTCGTACGATCGCGTGTCGCGCCTTCGAAAGCCCAGCTTTCGAGTCGATGACGTTTGTTTTTCCTCATGCTTTCCCCCCCCCCCTCTCTCTCTCTTTCCTCTCTTCTCTTCCCAGATCTCCAGACTATCTCACTTTTATTTTTCGTTTAATGAAGAACCGGTCGTGTAGTAGTTCTTTAAGCTAGGCGAGTGATTCGTAAAGTTTCTCGTTCCCCGTGTAAACTCTGGCATCGGGAGGAGAGATGCCTTAGAAATGTGGAGAAAGAGAAAAGATCCAACAACGCGAACAACGGAGTTTCCACACGGATGAGACGAGGCGAGACGGCGAGGGGGAATTTATCGAGGGCGAAATAACGAACGATGTTTCAGAAAAGTTAAACACATCCGGTGAGAATTCGGAAGACCGTCGCGATCCCCCGGACTTTGTGCAATTAACTCGCTCCAACGAACTCTTATCATCGCTGCTTATTAGTTGCGCGCGACTGTGCGGCTGCCGATATCACGCTCGGCAATTCCTCGCGGCTTGAAAGCCTCGCTACAAAGTGCGCCGGCCGAGAGGCGTCATAATGACGCAAATAAATATAATTTCGGGGATATTTAAGCCGACGTACATTTTAGACACGGTGTTAACTGCTGGACGTAATATTAAAGTTGATTTAAAGGGTCTACTGATAAGAAACAGCGTTCTCCGGGGAGCTCTGCGCGAAACGCTCCCCCTCTAATTTTAATGAAACTTTAATGATATTTAGAGGATCTCCGGAGAAAGCGAGAGAGAGAGAGAGAGAGAGAGAAAGAGAGAGAGAGGGGGGCAGCCCTGTAAATCTCGCGCACATAATGACGTAATATCTCAGAGATCTTTTAACGGCCGGATTGTTTCATCCTTGAGCGAGTTTAACTTTAATACCGACGAATCTAGATATCCAGCCGAGATTATAACGAACAACACCTACAATCGTAGCGCTTCTCTATCCGGCATGTCGTAGCGACACTGATCTCTCTCTCTCTCTCTCTCTCTCTCTCTCTCTCTCTCTGATCTATCCCGTCGTGTCCCGTCCGTCGTATTGCCTTCGGATCGATAAGTGTTTATACACCGGAAAGCATCGAATAATAACGTCAAACCGCAAAGTTCGTCGACATCGCCCTTCACTGTTCATTTTACCTTGCGCTAGCAAGTACGAGGAACAGAGAGACGCCTCAACCGGTGACGCGCACGGCCGAGATAAGACTCGGTGTAATTCTAGAACTAATGGCCCGTGACGAGCTCGCAATTCGTCCCGGCCGAGAAAATTATGCCATAAAAGTGGAACACATTCTCGGCATTTTGGACAAACGATACAGCTCACACGACATTGGCGCGGCGCGCCCGTGGTGACATCTCGCAACGTTTTCACACCCCGAGCCACCGGCCGGGGCACGATCGTTTTTCCGAGCTCCTGTTGCAGTCCTCCTTTACAAGGCGAGCGCTTGTAAAGCCGACGCGGGACAATAATGAGCGATATTCGATTTCACGTTTATCCGCTTAGGCGAATGGCCCGACGTAAAGCGGCGGCGGCGACGTGTGAGGCAGGCTTTAGTATTTTTACATTGTCGATCCGGAGACGGTGTTAACCTTATTACACGTCGTAAGACGACGTGTTAAAGAACGTCTGAGCCACGCGGCAAACGAGATCCTACTTGCTTCGTGGGACTAATCTTGCGCAATCTAGACAAACGCGGCTTAACTTTGTCGCCTTGATGCAGCGCGTCGTCGACGCAGCGCGAAAACTCAAATACCGCGTACCACTCGCGTATCCAGTTTCGTATTGTTTCGTTGTATTACGATTATATCGTCGGAATAACTCTCTCTCTCTCTCTCTCTCTCTCTCTCACGGCTCTTTCTTTGCCGTCTCGTTTCGGACAAGCGCGATACGTGCGTCCTGCGCGGGAAATTGCGATAAAAGGTCCAGAGGGGATGAAAACATTCCCGACCCGAGCTGGAGATCGCATCGATGGAAATTCTCCGCGCTGTGACGAGAGTGAGAACGGTTATCAATCGATACAGCGCGAACGCTAAATAATCCTTGGCCGTTTGTTCCTTCATAACTCAGCGGCGCGAAACGGGCAGGTGTGCGCGCCAAGGCCGAAAAAATGCTTCCAATCGACTCGCACGGGCGCGATGAAGGAACGCGGCGCTTCGGGTGCCTTCATTGTTTCGGCCATCCGGCATTGCGAAAGAAACGCGGCGCCGTGCGGATGAAGGTCGGCCGGAGGCTCGAGAGAGAGAGAGAGAGAGAGAGAGAGAGAGAGAGAGAGAGAGAGAGAGAGAGAGAGACCGACTCAATTACAGTCGCTGAGCGACGCGATAATTGGGATCAAGATTGATTGTCCGTCTCCCTTTCGCGCTGACCTCCCACGAACACAAGCTACACGGACGTGCATTTCCTTTTTTTCTCCCCCGCTGCCGCGTCTCACATAAATAAAGCGGAGACGCCGCGCGCCAGTGCGGAAGACAAAATACGATTCGTCTGGACGACGACTGGCCTGTGTGTGGGTGTGTGTGTGTGTGTATGTGTGCGCACAGATCTAAGAGAGAATATTTGCTTTGCGATCAAATCTAGCATGAAATAAACTCGTAAATCTCGGTAATTGCGGTGCCGCGTACGCGGAGGGAAATTGAAATAAATCAATCCGCGTTAAGGATTATACGCGCCGCGGTTAAACACCGAAGGGAGAAAGAGAAACAGCGCTTGAATTACGGTGCAAAAATAAATGAACGCGTGTGGAGGACTCTTCGCGGGGGGATCCCATTTGAACCGCTTCGAAATTATGTCACGCGGCCGCGTAATCCTTTCCTGCGCGACTGCAGGGCTCCGAGTCGGATCCGACGAATCGACGGATTTACCCACGGCGACGAGGTCTCTGATCGCGCTCCGAGGCGCTGCAACGCGAAAGCGCGAAACGGTGTGCTTGCTCGTGTGCCGTTACAAAAGCGTTGTCCTCTCGCCGGGCGTGACGTCGAAAAAATCGGTATCGGTATCGACGCGCTCTCGGCGTGATATCGCGAGCGAGGTTCGCGTACAGATGAGTGAGAAGCACAACAGTAAACCGCGCGATAATAATTCGTCGCCGTCGCGCGAGAGCGTTCAGGTCGCTGCTTTTTCTATCCAGCTGCGCGGCGGCAGAGAAAGAGCGAGAGGTAAAGAGAAAGAGGCAAGAAAACCCTACGCGGAAATATCCGCGAAAATGACTCGACGACCAGAGCCGTAGGGGGAAGAGAGAGAGAGAGAGAGAGAGAGAGAGAGAGAGAGAGAGAGAGAGAGAGAGAGAGAGAGAGAGAGAATGGGAGAGCGAAGAAAGGAAGAAGCGAGAGGATGGCGAAGGGATGGAAGGTGCTCACTTCATGGCGGCGGGAGGTCGATGTCGAGCAACCTTTTTCACCTCGATAAAGCCCTGTCGTCGAAGG